AAACAACCCAAATTTACCACACAATTTTAAAAAGTGTTAAATCCGCATTACTTAATAAATTTAAATAATATTACGAGCATTTAAAAACTTGGCATAAGTTAAATTCCATATAGGTCCTGCTTTTGCTATATGCACCGGCAAAAAATGATTTCGGAAGAAATGCAATAGCGTGGCAAAAACTGTGGTTTTTACCAGACAGCGCAGCGAAAGCCTTACTGACTAGAAATTTAAAGCTATCTTTGCACTAGTGTGCCTTTTGGCAACGATATAGGGTTATTGAAATTTTATATGCACGTTAATGTGCATGCTTGAGGTGCCAAGTACCGAGTGTACCGCCCTTAAAAATATAATTTTGCAATCATTGTAATTGCCTTTAGCCTCTTTGTTTTGCCAATTTTTTCATTTTGTAAATATAAGGCTACAATTATTTTAGCTCTTTTGTTTATACCTTTCACGTTCTGTCTTTCCATCCTCCCGCAATCGCCGCGTTTTATAGAGTGACGCATTCTGCCGAAAGTAGCGTAAACATATAATTTAAGAGGATTTCAAGTGTATGATAAAGTGAATGAAATACCACATTGTGCGCAAAACGTATTGCTAGCTTCTCTTTTTTTAAATTATGGAACTGGATTCTCAGGACCCCACAGGTTGTGAAGTTGTAGGTCAAAATCTTGATATTTGTAATAAGAATTTATAATAAAATTAAGTCAAATCTCTGCCTTTGAGTGAAATTTTTTAAGGTAAAAAGCTGTGCGCACGCATATTTGACATTTTTATTCAATGTTTGCCTTAGAATCTATTCAATTGCAAAATTTTAAATTTATAGTAAAATGGACCTAATCTGTTAATTTAATGGCTATTAGCGCGATTTGCTTTGTTCGTATGGTTTTTTTAAATTATGTAGAGCAAGTTTTTGTTGATTTTTACCACAAAAGATTGGCAAACACCTAGGATGTACATACGTATATTTATCGTGATTTCAACGCTCCGGTGTATGTGATTTCTAATCCCTCTTTTTAAGCTTTTGCTAAATTATACAGTACACCAATGACACTGACTTTGACTATTATGTTTTTTTAAGCATAACACTCCCACCAATCCACCTGGTATTTCTATTTCGCTAACCTCGCCATATATAAATATCGCCTTGAACACACCTCTATTAGTTGACTCATTTGGCAGTCCTGGTAGTAGTTGCTGTTTGACGCTCTCTAATGGTTGGAGTGACTTTGATTTTGGTTTGGTAGGTTTTTTTTGTTTTAAGTTTAACTGATTTTTTCCGAATGGTTCTGTTGGTTTACAACAAATTAATTGCCAAGATAACATTAAAACCTGCTGCATTTTCCTACATTTTTATTTATTTAAAATTTTTAGATTACAGAAAAGCCAGAATGTGAGACATTCAAAACTAGGAGTGGTTCTTCTACCTCTTATTGCACGATGAGACATCAAAGTAATGTGAACAATTCTCTACCAGAAGTAGCTAACTCGATTGAATTCCCCTGCCAGAAATCGAACAAAGTAGAAAGCAAGTAGCTTTTCTGGGATAATATTGACTTATTCATTTTGATTTGTTGGTATAAAGTGTGGCAATGTCTTTAAACTATAAATACAATGCAGCTTTTAATATAAGGATTTTTAGCTGTTAGGTCATACCGTTAATTTTGTAGTAATAAGTCAGATATTTAATGGATTTACATATTTTAAAATAGTTGCTTACAAAAGGTTCTGATTTTAAAGTGGCCTTAATGTCATGACGAAGGTAAACGCTATTTATGAACTTATGCGATTTTAGTCTCTAATATACAATTTCTTATTTGTCGATGAAAATTAATAGCCGCCAAAGATTTGTCACTAGACAGGATGGTGGATGGACCGGATCACATGGAAAAGACATTAAGAGCAGCACTTAAAATTCAGGCTTGGTGGCGAAAAATCTTGCAATGTCAAAAGCTCGAAAAAGCTGCATTGGGCATATTGTTTGCTGATCAAAAGAAACGAATACTCAACCGCTCCGCTTCCATAAAACAAAGCACTCTCTTAAGAAGTCGCGCTATTCGATCGCCTAGGATTGCTACCCGTTTTATAAAAAAATTGAAGGGCTCCGAACTGGTATATCTGTTATTATTTACTTTTTGGTGGTAGTTGCGGGACAAAATGTACAGCATAATAGGTAGTCTTAGTTACCATGCCTATTTGTTCTTTGGAAAGTTCTGGGGCAAAACTGTTAAACACCACAATTTTTGGCGGTGTGATTAAAAGAAAAATTTAAAAAAGATGGCTATAGAAATTTATTCTGCGAGGATGTAGACAATATCTTTGCTGTGCTTTAGGTCATTTGACCCGACCAGAAGGCTTCATGGAAAAGTCTTTTTGTCTTTTTTTTCTTACATGTACAGCTCTGGCTCCAGCGAGCGGTTTCATTTTCAATTTGATTTATCCAAATGAGATGTTTTTTCCTTTGTAACTACTTTACCGGAAGAGTCAACTAGCTTTAAGTACATTTTAATAGATCATCATGCAATATTGCCTTTCACTGTTTATGCATATATTTTTTCTCACCATAGTTTGTTCGGTGCAGTGCGGATGCCGGTTCATATTCACACTCCAGGACATTCAAAGGACCTACTGCATCTACAACAGAGACTAGACCATCTAAATACGATAAAAAACATAAGGCAACGGTATATTATCTGCCTTTTTGGTATTCAATTTCGATATATTCAGATGTTTTTGTCTAAAAAATGAAGTTAATCTTGAAGGGTAACTTAGTTATACACTGTGCTTTCTACTGAAAACAGCTAAAACTACTTAATCTCTAGCTAGTTAATCGCTAACTTCAAGCACTTGTAAAGCAGTACAACACGAATAAATGATGATCTTTTCTGATACAAATACACATGCGATATATATATGTATACATAGATGCATGTATATATACTAATAATATTTTTACACATGATTGAATCAAAGCTGAGGCATTAAAAACGTAGTGAATCAAAGTTAGAACAAATTATTGGCACAGACGTAAGGCACTTACTTCACTTTACTCAATCATAATGACTGGAACATTTTAAAACCCACTCGAAAGGATTCAAATGATGCGAGCTTGGAGTCCGCTAAGCGAAATCAGGAAACGACAAATCTTATGTCAGCAATAATGTTGGACCTTGAAAAACTCGGTACTGTTCAATCGGAACTCGTGCTGCATAATGGAGAGGGACCAGCTCAACAGTTTGAATGCTCCCAGACCTGTAAGGCAAACCCAAGCTTAGAGCATTAAGCGCATAGTATACATGTCCAAATTGTTAGACTTGCTTGAGTCATTCAATTCGTCAAAGTTATTAAATGTATTACTAATTTTCTCTCCAATTTTGATCGCTAAGTAAAGATGAAGGTATAGCACTTCTAAAACCTCATTTTAAAACCGGATATTTCAATCTCTCTAGTATGTAAGATAAACCAGTTGCTTACGGAAGTTCAATCTCTCTCAATGCAAAGGAATAAAAAGGGTAAAGAGGCCCTCACAATTGCGGTTGAACGTTCCGTGACTCCAAGGACAATAATGGATCAACTAAATGAATCGCTCAAGACACTTTCTGACGTCGAATCCGTAGCTAAGGCAAGGTACTCCCATTTAAATGCGTGAGTCGGTAATGACACGCTATCTCTTTACTAATAAGTTATAAGTAGACTTACTGCGTTGCGCTTTATAGTGGTTCGTTGGATCTGAAGGGGGATGGCTATGTCGGCACACCTATTTTAACACCAAGGCAAATGTGCATACTGCGACAGGAAGATGGAAACTGTGGGGTGCCGGAAGATAAAGTAGTAGCGATAACTGACTGCGAGGGGGAAGCGCTCGCCATCGGTGAAGAGACCTTTGACTTGAATGAAAGCCTTGACACACCAACTTGTTCGGATGTGGCCTCAAAAGACGTTGTGAGTTTACCAAAAGTAGCTGCATAAGCGTGCAGGAATGCCACGCTTAAACCAACCTATCTCTCCTCTAAAAAGTTAACTTAAAAGCAGCTTATGATTGTGGCGAATTGGATGTGTCGGGCATGCCTGTGATACTTCATTAATTCGTTTGTGTTACTTCAAGTTATGAATTGTGATTTTTTATCATTATCATATTTATCGGCCAAAGACAGAAAAATTAGCACTTTCTACCTACCACGGAGGCCCTGAATAAATCACCTTTCTTGCACGGCATTTAATCTCTCCTAATCTTGACTTTGCGTGTCTGCAGTGAAATGCTTGCGCAAAGAGAAATGTTTACTTTAGAGGATAAAAAAATTTACAATAATACACTCCTGCCTAGCAGGCCATTCTGCTACGGTGTTGGCCGCAGAGAGAAAAACTAAGGTCAGATGTTTCCGTTCGGAACGGCAGCACCTACCTTACTTTATGTAATTTTAATGCAGTCGGGAATGCACGATTTGCATAAATGAAATGGTAAACTTGAGAAGTAAAATATTCCCAAATGTAATAGTTTTGTGTCCTGGTGAAACCACTTTATACGAATGCGTTTCAGATGAAAACACTTGCTAGATGCTTATCTTCATAAATCCTACTTTGTTTTCTTGAATGTAAGGAGTTCAAGTTAACTTAGCATCGACACCCGTGCTAACGGTCAGGCGGCTATGAAATTGGACCGCGTAGATGCGGTCACGAAAGGAAATGTGAGCAATAAAGCAGTGTCCAAGTTGTTGTAAGTCATGCGACATGCTGTCCGAGTTAGTCGGAAAATCGCGGTGCCTGAAACAGCTAAGTCAGCAGGTCGAGTCCCCGTGTGCAACACCAAAGTGTTCCGATTTTTTCAAAAGCTCCCTACCTTTGACAATTTTCTTTTCTACCTCTCCATGGCAGTTGGGGACAAATACGTTAACATCTTTTAAAATGTGCTAGGATAACAAATATTACATGTTAAACGTCTCAATGACTGATGAAATGACATTGACATAATGAAGGTAAGGTGTATCTTAATCCAAGCATCCAGCTTTGATTGCATTACTTCCTCACCACAACAATGTATAAATAGATGTTTTGATTAACAAATATAAATGTATCCAGGTGGATTATAAGTCCATTAGATTTCAAAGTATTAGGACATACTTTGGCCTATATCATATTTCGAAGCAAGGGTGCTAATCCATTCAAAACTTCGGCACATTTTATTGTTTCTCTCAATGTTGAGTCACATTGTTCCAGGATCGAATTCATAAGTATGGTCCTTTCAGTAACAAATCACACGCAACATTAATTCAAGCACCATTCAAATTCATTTCTACTCGAAACACAGGTGATGGATGCTGTAATTTAATACTTCTCATTGGGTACACAAGTTGCATAGATAGATGCATAATTTTGATGGAATGTATCTAAACGAGCAGAGCAACCTTATAACCTTACCTCGCATGTTAAAGCAAAAAAACAACCGGTGTATTTGGCTATGACGGTGCATTAAAACGAATGATGTTACTTCGTGGAGGTAGGCAAGTAATTTAGATGTAATATGTTATTTGTAAAAGGATTGGCTACTTACCTCATACAACAAAAAGCATCGTTTTTCGTTTGAAGCGTGCCTCTTCCTTACTATCGTTTTTTATAGTCGTAATGGTGGTTTTTCTTCACAAATAGTTTTAAAGTCTGTTAATGAGGCACTTCATTGCTGGTTAAGTGATTTCCACCATAAGAGAGACAGGGTATCCAATTATTTTCAGATAACATAACAGCAAGGATCACTAATCCTTTGACTTATTATATTTCTTAACACAGTTAAATAAATATTGTTGCTACCTAGCATGTAACAGACATGCATTTAGTTAGGGTATTTGAACTAGGCCCCAGGCCGAGATAGTTCGAGATTGAGTCTACAGGTATAGGCACTACATACGGAGCTTGAGCTTTTCAAAGTACCGATTTTACTTTTATAGCCTATTCCGGGGCGGTCGCCACCAGTCATTCAGTCGACTGAGGAGAGTCACCGCCTACAGAAGCAGAAGGCGGTGGAAGTGGAGAGCGCGCTGAGAGACTGTGAGAAGCGCCTCCGTGATGAGTACGAGGTGAAGCTGGAGAAGAACTACCGTCTGATTGATGAGCTCATTGCGGAAAAGAAGGCACTGACAGAACAATGTGACAAGTTGGTTGCCAGCATGCGCCAGATCTCCGAAAAGGCGCTAGCCAAGCAAAAGCTCCTGGAGGAGAAGTACGATTTCTTTTTCCCTCCCGATGCGGAGATTTTACTTATCAGCTGCAAATCCACTATCTTTTTTTTAAATGTAAACGTTTTAACAAATATAGTTATATTAAATGGTTAGAAATAGAAGAAAGTGGGTCCAAACTAACCCACTTTAACGGGGACTAATACATTTACTCTGACATTTGCGAGTTGCCAATTAACTGCAAAGAAGTCTATACGGAAAACGAACGTGAGGACAGTGTGTTGAATTCGATACTGACATTATATTTATGTTTCAGCTTCAAGTAATCGCTGTCTTCCAACAACAGTAATGAATGGAAATGTGGAAAACTCTTATTAACTCAAAGCAATGCGAGTGGAGCATTATTTAGTGATATTTTTTTATTTTGTGACTACACTACTCAATCTATGCACAGGGTTTCCGAAAATTGGATTACCAAGACGCAACTCCATTCCATTGCTTTACATCGGTGGCATTGACACGATGCTAGTTGTTAGTGGAGTGAGTAAAAAACACAATTTTATTTCCCTCCTTCCAGTCATAAAGTGGAGCTGAAAAAGGTTGAAGCAAAAGCGGCTGCGGCAGAGAAGATAAAACGCGAGCGGTGGGAGGCAGCGAAAACAAAGGCTATCAAGGTGAGCAAACGTGTTGCGATCTGATGTGGGACATTCTTGACCCGTGAACATGTACCAAGCACTCCCATTGGTGCTTGAACTCTGGACATACGAAGAGTAGGGGTAATAGGCTCCAATTAATATTCAATGTATTGTTTTGAGATTTCATCGAGATTCTTGGAAAAATAAAGTGAGCAGTGGGAAAAATTATGGTTGAAGCACGCTGCTGAATCTTGACTTTAAAAGCACCAATTCACATTTCTTTAAATAAAACTTATTTGTACGATTTGAATCTCAATTAGAATGTTTGACATCCCGTGACAAATCTGGTAAGAGGTGTGATCCCACGTGCTTGGCATTAACTCATGAGTGGAGAACTTGGTCTAGTTGTCCTCTCTACTACAAAGATATGTCAATAGCACCTAAAAGTTAAATATTTTAACAACAACAACAACAACTGATAAGCTTACTTTTCTTCTAGAAAGTCCCAGAAGTTCCTATTTGAAGAACTCCTAATCTTTGAAATCATGTAAAATGTTTCACATGATTTAGTAGACTTACCTACAGGAGGAATGGAAAAGTCTTTGGTAGAGGAGAGTGGAGGCAAGAACGCTAACCCATTTATTATTCAGGAGCTGACTATGAAGGGCGTGGAGCGCGAGATTCAGCGTCTGATGCTGAACCACAAAGAGGAGCTGGAGGAGATGAAACGCCTCTACAAGGAGGACTTGGAAGCGGCGGATGCTCGAGCTTTCGAAAGCTACTCACAGAAGCTGGAGGAATTGCGCTCGAGGTTCAGCAGAGAACGAGAGGAGATCTGCCTTCAGGAGAGAAAACTGGTAACCGAAAGGTAGACCGCCTTCCCTACTTGAGATGGTGCCCTAAGGGCATTCACATGCCTTGAATTGGCTGTCTTAATGTTCTCAAGCCAGATTACTAAAGTTAAGTTATTCATTTTTCACTTTGGTGTTGTCGTAGTCCATTTTTGAGTGGCGCGTTATGTTGGGTGTTGTCGCGACTACACCCATGCTGACGTAGGCAGACGGTGACTTAGTCACCCCCACCGAAACTCCACGTGACGTCTGGGCTAACAGAAACTGGGTTGCTAATGCCATCGCCCGTTTGGCGGTAATGCGCTTTTTTTTTCCAAGGAAAGATAAAAAACTTCGTAGCTGAAACTAGGACTCAGAAGGATTTTAGTGGTTTCTTTTACTACAGTATGGGGCACAGTCAAAAACTGGTCTCAAGCTTACAGAGGCATTCGTTGTCACAATTCTGCAAACAAACACACCTTTGATTTTTAAGGCTCTCAAATATATTTAATTGGAAGCGCTTAAACTGCTTGTGCTAAGCATTAATTCCTCATAATTGTACTTATATAGGAAGTAGAAACTCTGTCGAGGAAAGAAAATTGGTGGTTCGTAAAAAATAAATCTGTTCACAATCGAAAAGAAATTTATTGACTATTTTGTGGCATGGTTTTCAGGGCTTTATCAGCTCTTTTCAGTGCATCAAATTCATTCCTAAGAATGCTGCCTTCAACCTCAGGTACGATGCCCTAATGGCAGAGGAGCGACGAGTTTGGGATGGGCTAAGGAAGAAGTTGCTGAAGGATGCATCCGAGGAGAAGGATCGCCTGATAACCCTGATGACTCGAGAACGTACTGAATTGGAGGAAAAAATCAACCAGCTAAATACTGCCCTCTCTGAGGCCAATCAGCGGAGTCTTCACGAAGTGGCGCGGGTCAAAAAGGCGCTAGAAAGTGAATACGCGGTAAGAAACCACTTTTCAGACTTTTGCTATTTACAAGTTGATAAAATAATGAGTCGACGAATAGTCCAACCGTTAGGGTGATTGTGGTCAGTAGGTAAACGGTTTATCCATATGAGTTCAGCAATGCAGAGGCGTTGATGCGCAGGATGTTGAAGCCTTTTTCCCTTTAGTTACAACTAGAAAAGCTGCAGTCTCAACTGGAGAGTGACAAAAAGGGTGTTGAAGAGACGGTGCGTACCCAACTTAAGTCGGATTTTCAGGAGCGTGAACGCGAAATTATTGAGAGGCTACGGAAGGAGCGAGATCGGCAGCTGGAGGCTGTTGTCCAGCGACTGGAGGCGGAAGCGACTCTCTCACGTGAGGAGGCTGAAAGCAGTGCTCAGGAGAGAATAAAGTGAGCTCTCAGCTCGCTGATTTTAACCTTCAAATTAATGCTTATTTGCGGACTCTTAGTAAATTCAATTGTTCCTATCTCAGTTTAAAAACGGAAAAGCCCCTGATGTGCCATATCGACTGTGGGGGAACAATTAACAATTCTCTTAGAAGAAAAGGAGGCTAACTATGCGTCCACTCTTGTATTCGTGATTTTGCATTGTCGTTTCATTTAGCGGTCTGATCATCATTTGAATAGTCCAACAATGTTTTACTTCCTCGGCATTAGTAATGTAATCGTGTGAGACGCAACTTATCACACAACCTAAAGTCAAGGCAATTTGGAAGCCATTTGGACTATTAGTGAGGTTAGGTTTTCAAATGGACTAGGCGACTTCTTTACGCGAGTAGAGTTGCGAGACTGGGACTGAGTCGCACGACTCAATGGAGTCGTTTCCTACCACGGGAAGCAACAATGTTATGCGTGGCTTAGGCTTGAGAGAAATTCGGGGTTCGCATTACAGTATACTTAAGACCTGTATCACACCATATTTCGGATTTTCTTTAACCCGAGTGAATGCTAATTATAAGCAGAATCAAGTGGAGGTTAAGGCTCTAGATCATCTTAACTCATTAATGAGGCAAATAAGTTAAATAATGAAATGTGTGTTAACATCATACGAACTCTCAAAGTAGCGAGTACTACCTGGGGTCAACGGTGAATCGTCATACGGTATGACCTTGTGTATATTGGCTTGTACTTGTAATACACAATAGTGTACCATCCTTCAGCGATTGCGATCCTGAACCATGCTTGCAGATATGGAGCCACAACTAATAATTAATACCTTATTTCCATTTTCAGTAGCAACGCCTACATGGCGAGCGACGAATGAGCTAGAGGTTTAAAAGAGCATGTCCCAGTGTTTCCAATGCTACTAACGCCGTTTTTATCAGGGCCATGCTTCAAAAGAGCCTTTGTTTATGCGCTCTAGGAAACTATTTCATACACATTATGGTACCAGCTAACGAACATGTCAAGCGAAATTTTAGCACATATAAATCACAAGGGCTATCCTATAGGCGTGGCATGATTTTTCAAGTGACCCTACAGCCCCTTTAATTACTAGCTTTACCAATCCCCGTTGAGAAGTGTAAAGATTGTGGTTTGTACATTTTAACCTGCAATTTTTATTAGAAGAATGAAAGAAAAACACCAAAAGGATATCGACGACCTAGAAGCAGCTGAACGGCAAGCAAACGAGAAGTACAACCAGCTCCGGGTGAGCACTTCCGTTCCAAATTCAAAATATGGCTTGTAGCATGCTGGTTTTTCCCCTTTCACAGTTTTATCTCCAGGGTCTGTCACTAAGTGCCACCCTCTTGCCAATCACTTAACACCTGTAGACATCTAGGATATGAAGTAAGCGACGCGCTGCCTATGCTAGAGACAATGCTTGTCAATGGTGCCATGTGATTTAGGGTTATTACCACTATTAAGCAAGTGTCGGGAAATATCGCCAGTATGAAAGGTAAAAAGTAATCGGCCTCTACCTAAATAGCTATTTTCCCACTATACAGTGATTTGTTATTCAAATCTCAAGTCTGTACTTTTCGCTCCAATTTCTTCTTCAAATAAATCCTCTACTTTTAGAAGAGACTATATTTTGAACGACAATGAAGCCTTAACGTTGGTCCGCATTAGATTTATTATTGGCACCAGTTCATTTTACTTTTTGTATTTATTTTACAAATTTGTCCTTATACATTATCGGTGCAACTCGTTTCGTTGTGCTACCGAACTCCTGAGTAATACCAGGTGCTAAGGTCGACTAGGATGGAATATTTTTGAACGCATTTGTTTTTCACCGCTTTTTCGAGGTGTGAAATTTTGGCCCATAATACAGGATACCTATGACGACATCTGCACAGGTGGAAACGGATGCTTCAGCAATTCCAAAAGGCTGAGAGGCTTCTTTTCTGGTATTGAGTTTTCCACAGGAGAGGTGTTTCCTCTCTGGATTTTATCCAGGTGTAAAACACTACGCGGCCTTTGCTTAAAATTCCAGTAGTTCTTAACCCATAATAAATAAGTTACTCACTGTAATGGTTGAACGGGCGCGACTGCAGAAGTAAAACAAGCATGAGGAGACTGATCACTTTCTCCTCAGACCGACAACCAAATGGACTGCTTGTTAGGCCTGACTGTCTTTAAATGTTGCCGCCTTCCTGTTTTACCCGGATTTTTTTGCAAGTGATGGCCTCTTCTGTGCTCCAATCGCTAATGCCATTCGGCGGGTTTCACTCACGAATTCAAGGTCAAATGAGCGTGCTGGAGGTGTTTTATTTGTACCTTAACAGATTAACTGAAGTGGCGCATCAGATGGGTAGTGCTCTAAGGGCGCAGTCAACACCAAAAGTAGCTTTTTAGGGACCCACATTAAAGCAATTTTAACCATCAAAGATTCGCAAATGCACGATGCCTCAAAAGCCTTAGTAAAAGAGGTATGGGTTGGCTGTATTGTATGAGTCGAGGGTGCGTGATTATGAGGTAAAGAGCGGTTAAACCATTGGCCAGTTATTCTCTAAAGGGTGCTAGAGCAAATCTTGTGCAATCTTTATAGAGAAGAGCATGTAAGGTCAGAGCCACTGCTTGTTAAATCGTGGAGGTCAGCACATTTGATGCCAGATCATGATTCGTGTTGCCAAGACGCTGCGTCATAGCATAAGGTAGATTTTATTCAAACTGTAGGGCTCTGGCCCTGACGTATGAAGTGTTTTTTTTGTGACTGTAGACTATCGAAGGCATTGCGCCACAATTCCGTTTTAATAAAGCCACGTTCTCTGCAGTCAATCATGGTTTTATCCGCGGCAATTCCATGAGTTAGTTGTGCAGCCGAGAGACTTTGAAGCTGACTTACAGCAGCGTAGTTACTAAGTTCAAATCATACGGCCGGATGAAGAGGTACTGGACCAAGCTGATTCGATAATCTTATTTCCATCGCCGCCTATTACAATGGCAAGGCCCGATGTCTGGAGCTGGAAGGGGAGGTGAACTGTCAGAAGGTGCGTCTCGCTCAAGTGGAGGAGGAGGCACGACAGACACGGGCGACAAATGAGCGTCTGATGGGTGAACGTGAACAACTCAGAGAGGTTGTGGCCCGCGAGGTGGCAGAGGAGATAGCCGCTGCAGGGGCCAAGGCGGGTCAAGCACAGCGTGAATTAGCTGAGGTCCGAGCACAGGCCAGCGCCGAAGTCGCCCGGCTCCAGGCAGAGTTAACGGCCGCCAAGCTAGATGCAGCCGACGAATTGGAGTCCGTTCACCAGAGGTAGTTTACTCTACTCATTTGATGTTGGATATGGAGAAGATGACACCCGTGGCTGGTTTTAGTTATAAGTGCATTTAAGTATGAAAGTTTTCTTACGCAGACAGCTGAAGCGGTCGGTATTGGTCGTCAGTTAGAAGTATGAATTCATATGAAGGTCATAATTACCTCGCAGTTACACCTCAAAAGAGAATGCTTTTAATATAGACTTAGGTAGATGTTCATCACGTATTAATCTTACCAGGCTTCTAGTGATACGCTTAACAGGATGAGTCAAAAAAAAATAGGAAAACTTACATAGAACAGCCTTGACAGTACCCATCTTTACCTTGTTAAAATAAGTATTCGTCTGTAGTTTGTACAATAAAAGGTGAGACTGCTGGAAACACGTATCCACCAGAACCACCATGAATTAACAGAAATTGGTCATTTTTCTAGTTTTACAAAGCGATTACTCTTTTAGGTGAAATAAGTCACTGCTAACAAATATATGCCAGATACATGTAATGGTTGTCAAAAGGTGTTAATAGCCATAAATCGCAAAAACGGTAAATAAAATTTACACCGGTTTGTTAAGTGGTGGGTACTAACTTTTAATTCCCACTTAAAGCAATAATGCTTAATACAAATGTAGCAGCATAAGGAATAATTTGGCACCTCCTGGTGCTGACGTCTTTTACAAATCTTGCAAATAAGTTGACATCTCTGATTATGCCAGGGAAATGGCTTTTATAGTTTCTCCATTGCAACCAACCCAAATTTTCATTTAAAACAGTTTGGTTGATCAAGGGGCCAGATTTTGTTGGCAACCAATCTACCGCCTTGCAGGAGCAGTGGGCAAAAACGATAACATGGCATTTTCAAGTAGAGCTACTGATCACCACGTCTTTCTCAACCCGATGCTGCAGACCTTGCACTAAGGCATAGCCTCTACAGTGGCACGTTTGCTTTGTCAGATTAGCAGTAAGCACATATGCACAGAAGCGGAACTATGTATTGTCTGTCAAGTGTTCCGTAAGCGCAGGACTGGCAGCAGAAAGTAGCCCGAGTCACTCACACTTCCGGTTTCTCCTTCCAGTTCAGTCCTCCACGTCGCTTCGCACCACCAGAGAGTATTCGTGCAAACCGAAGTCTTAGCTTTTTTCAAGAGCTCAACAATGTCTAACATTACTTACTATCTTCATTCATAGGCAAATAACGGTCTTATGTCCAAAAGTTGTTCTGTCAGTGTTGAGATTATTCTTCATGTACCATAGTGCTATGCCTCCACCCTGTGAGCATAGAATCAAGATGCATCCCTCATGGATACTGTTAGGTGGTCCCATAGAGGCAAATTCGTCACCGATTTTGATAAAAATACAACTGTGAGAGGTAAACTACCAATTTTGAACCCTCTCTTCGACTAAATACAGACTTTAGCTGCCCCAGGCACAGATCTATGAGCAATTTTCGCAGTGGTTGCGATGAAATGGAGACTAGAATCACGGGCGTGACCAAAACCTCATCCTTATTTTTTTATAGACAACAGCAATAAATTATACAATCCCGGGTATTTTATTATTACTAGCACTTTCACTGGGGCGCAGACGTATGAAGTAGCCAATTAACATTTTGGTGTGAAATCAAGGCTAAGAGACCAGTATTTTGCTATAATTGAAATTCATGACACCAGTGGATCTCACGTAGGCAAGTAGAAAAGGAATCATTTCATTTCTTCAGAATCAAGGAGGCCATCGTAAAGAAAGACGAGAACATAAAGGAGCTGGTGCGACGACACGAGAAGCAGGTGAGAGAGCTGACTACACAATTGGCAATGGTGAGTAGGGCACGGAGCATCGACGAGGAAGACCGTCACTGCCCTCCCGCGAGGAGTTTCAGGAGAGGGTCAGGAGTGGGAAGTGCCGCACCCACCAGGATGCGGGCTGCCTCCTTGCGTCGACGTTGATTCCCAAGCAGCAAAGTAAGTACTTCGCTGACCTTAGCTGCTCCGCTCCTCTCACTCGAATACGCACATACGCCCACCCCCCCTTCCCCCCACCTCCTTACTATCATAATTGGATCCAGTTTTTAAAATAATTTGTGATTATTGGACGATTGAGTCGAGTACTGCTTCTGTCGCGTTAGAAATTGGTGCATCTTGTCGAAAATTCTGATAATCGGATGACGTATCAACGCAGAGTTCAGAAAGTGTGCCGATTGCTATGCTGTCAAGAGGTTTATTGGAATTCAGTAGATCATAAAACCACCCGCAACTTTCGTATTAGGCGAAACCACTAAAATTAAACCTTTAATTTCAAATTGAAGCCGTACAATTAGGCCTAAACACGATCTACTGGATTGATGACCATACAATTCAGAGATCTCTAAGTTGATTTAGACGGGTTCTGAAATACTTTACCCAATCGGAGATGTGGCATGTGCCTCGTTATCGCAATCAACTGGACTAATCCACGGACTAACCCTCATTAAAATTACATCGGAGCGCACGGGAAGTGTAAAGCTCGCACTTTACAGAACGCACTATTCGTTGTCACTACACTGTTGACGATGATTTGATCAGTGACAACACACTGTAGTCAGAACTTGTAAACTCTCGCGCATAAGCAAGTTTCATACGGTAGCAAACTAATTGTATTCTCTACACTAAACTAGCAACACAGACACTTTAAATACCTTAGTTTTAAGGGCAGCCCATTGATATATTCAAAGTGACACTTCTTGTCTTTCGATTAAAGGTACTTGAACTACTACTAAATAAAAAGCAGTTGAGCAAGTAGTAAATAAGTACAGTCAGTCTTCTAGACTGACATGAATATGCGCTGCGCCGCGGCCACAGGCCAGCATAAATGTACCGACAAATGCACCTCATATTCTCACCTCATGTTTCAGTCCTCCACATCCCCTTGTTTTGCAAATTACTTTGCGGAAAGAATAACCCATTACCCTCGAAGAAGCAGCAGCAGACCGAAGTGGTAGAAAATGCGATTTAATATGAACAAATCAACCATACAATGCTATTATCGGCAGCAACACTAAAGAGCGAAGACATTGACAGCATGAAGCTAGGAAAGTATAATTCCAGGGAGGGGAATAAAGCGAAAGGCGAGGGTTCATTGCGTATGTACAATGGAAAAGCGCTGTACCTTCAATAGGACAGTTTCATGTGTGATGTGGTGTAATGGGATGTGTATTTGTATAGTGTGTCCGCATTGAGCCAAGCTGAGTACAATGGCGCGGGCAGAAGGGAATCAATTTAACTCCTGCTAATAAGACAGTTCAGTGGGTTTATGTAACTGAAATAAAGGTGTGTTTACCTTGGAACCGCTGCCTCACCTCTATATCGGCTTGTAGAGAACTGTCGAGACAAATTTTTGGCGGTATCTGGATATTGCCGATAAAACGATTACCCCGTCCTAAACAGCATATTAAAAATGGACTGACAGTTGTTTACTAGAAATTCATAGGTTAATGCCCACAGAAAGCCTTGAGAATCAATGAAACATTAAACCAAGCACGACGAAATAAGGATTCGTCCATTTGATTAGTGTAAACCGATTTAAGATTACCAGTACTCTCAAGAATAACATGTACTCCCAAGTGAATGGACTATCCCCATGGAGATGATAAACAGATGCAATGAAATTGTTGATGAAATTCATGTGCTGTTGTGCCTAAAATATTGCCATAATAGATTTTACACACATGAACAACGCACCTGATAAGTACCTTACGCGCAAAGCCTTCATTTGAGGCATACCCCTTTTTGGGTGAAATCTCGTGCAACCAAATAAACAGTTCTTTTTTGGTGTAGCGGGAGTTTGAGGAAGGTAAAGTCATATAAAGTGAAATTCATTTCTAACAGCATTTTACTAAATGAAGTGTGAAAAGCATTGCAATGTAGGCTGGCATACTAATAAATAGCCGATTACTCATTTTGCAAATCGAAACTAGAAAAGAATCCGCCCATTTACTAGAGAATTTTCGTAGGAATTATGATAGTAAAATAACATGCGATTCTTCAACAGATCAGTGTTGGATAATTGCCTGACAGAAAGATAGACACGAACATTGAGTGAAATAAAATTAACCGTTAAGGCAAATCTACTGAATCAACACCTATGAAAGAAACACAACATCCCGTACGCAGCAGCAGAGTGACTGGGCTTGAATACAACAAGGGGATTAGTACATGCATCAGTGGAGATTACAATCCACAGGCACTCACCTTTATGGAAAGAGCATACATGTGGTTAAGCATAACATGATTGGGCTGAGGCAGAAGGTTCGGATCACACTGGGCATTGGTATCCCGGTTCAAAATCACCTACGCAGGGGAAAGAAAAGGGGGGTATAAGAATGCGATAGGCGTGACAATCCACCAGAAGCAGCCGCCTGACATTTCAAAATCAAAGGAAAGTTTCCGCGTATTATATATTTTTCAACAGAGGGATTGGAACAATTCCTTGAAACAACATGAATATTAATAGGAAAATATGTGGCATCACATTAGAGACAAATATTGCATTATTTCAAATAATATAATACAGAGCTAAATTCGGCATTTTATTGAATTACACCACCACACATTGTGGTATAGTGCCAGTAGGACCGCGTAATCCAGTCTTCATTTTGGACTTCCAACCTTGCCGTGGCATTAAAAACTGTTTACAGACACCCGCGTCTTATAAAATCTACAGCGGCAACTCGAGAGCTGTAGCATAGTATGAACCTGGCTTGCATAAAAAAAATAAATCAAACCAATCCACACTATAGCGTGCCTTAGTTTAAGCAGGTGAAGAAAATGTTTTCATTCGCATGCAAATTGGAGGTTTGAAGGTGTGGATAAAAAGAAAGATGCTAAAAGTTTGCTGTTTCTTTGAAGGAAAATACATGAACAAACAGCATCGTGAAAAATTCAAAGTTGCATGTCCTTGGCAATGCACTGTTTTGGATTCACTGTAACACCGAGAATTAACCGTAAAACTGGTGAATAATTACGTGGTTCCGAATTAAACATCACCCACAGTTCGAACCTGCCTTCTGACAATGGTCATCAAACACTGATAACCACTTGCTGATATGCACCCACATGGTTACAGAGACTACCTATTCATGTGTTTTTAACGTCATCTAGAAATAGTACTACATTACTTGCATCTGTTAACAGAAACAGTTCAATCGCATGGAGCAGCTTCTATGGTTGTTGAAAAGCCTCAAAAAAATCTACCATGACGCCTTAAAAGACAGATAATTTGCCATTTCAAAGTTATAAGCTGAGAACAGAATAATTTATTCTGAGGAAGCAGATTCATATTCCATAAACTTATCAGAAGACATTGTTCGCTCTTAATAAGCTCGGTCAAGAATATGCACCTAGCCATTTTATCATCAAACCAAAATAGCACAGCCAAAGTCGAAAAAGCCCCGACCCTTGAATCCTTATCAAATAAACATAAACAGGTTGATCAACGCCCCTCATAACAGCGTAAAATCCGTTGTCAACAGCAGAGGAGCGTGAAATTTAGTCAACACTAAAGAATTTTCACCAAAAACATCAACACCCCAGGATCGAAAGCAAGAGACTTTTGAACATTTCGTAAAACAGATCCATATCCAACATGAACCGCGTATTCTTTAGTCAAAAAATACAGGATTTTATGTCAATTCAACTTAGAGGAATCCTAGTTCTTGGATTTCCATCAGAGACAGAGCCTATAAATACCTAAAAATTAAATGAATCAAATCAAGGATCTCCTAAAGTGGATGACCATTTGCCGTGCAACAAGAGAAAGTGGGATCTTTCAAAAAGACTACAAGGAGTGGGTATCAGTAGTCCATGACAGTCCAATTCGGAGGAATCCTCGAAGCATAAACACTGAAGAATCAACCATACACGGATAAAATAGAAGGAAGGGAAAGATCTGACCTGAAGGAGTTGGGGCGGAAGCAGTGGGGGCTTGGAGGACTTCGCGTCGACGCCAAGAGTTGTAAGCGCGGTAGGTTGAGTATTGGACGAGGCGCCGATGTGGGGCGGGGCGCAAGCCACTCCTGACCCAGGACCTCCCAGGCCCGTAAGGGGATTGGACGGAATCACCTGTCCGTACTCGCCAGGCGGTGAACTACCCGTCGGCACTGCATCCATGTTGGTAAGCGCCTCGATCACATCAAAGTCCGACATATTCACCGTTATGATGTTGTTCTGTACTCCTGTTGGACTTGTTGTTGTTGGCTGAAGGATGGAAAATGGAAGAGTTAGTTAAACTTTGTCTGAGTGTCGTTGACCCATAGCAGCGAGTTCAAAGAGCGTATGGAAAGTACGCTGCCTGATTTCAGAAAAATGGGCGTAGGTGGAACAGGTACCCTTACTGAACAGGGAAATAGATACATAATAATCGTACATCTGCACACAAACCAGTTATTTTCGGAGACCTAATCAACAGAAAACACGATAAAAGGCTCATTTATATCGGCTTAAAAATAAGCAGACACTCAGTTACAAGAAAAGTGGAGGATTGCGGGTAGTTGAGATACCAATTGGAAAGAAAGTGGAACCACACTTCAAAAAAGCAGACGTGAAGCAGGTGCAAAGGCAAATCAGCATTGTTCTACTCAAGTTGCAGAATCTTCTACAATTTTACTGTATGCAACACTACGCGTAGGCCTCGAGATTCAAAGGAATACAAGGAAAAACAGGCAAAGCCGACGAAGGACCAGTGAATTGTAGAGTGGAGTTGAGGCTTCAAGCTCTTCGTTTTTATGATTGATTAATGTATTTGTAATACGATAATGGTTTATCTCTCGGTATTGATGAGGCGCCACTTTTGTACTTTGAATTAGCCCCCTTGTACCTCTCTGGGTGGGCTGGCCTTTCGGGCCATGCCAGTAGCCCAGACACCTTCTCTGCGCTGAATATATATTCTGCCCGAGTATTATGCCTTCTTCCATCTTCAGGGAAGTCTCGGGACGTTACATATTTCCTTCCTGAAAAACGTCACTTTGTATTCAACTCATTCTAAATTTGGTACACCTAACATTGACTTTTGGGAAGAAAACACAGAACCGACATAGATCTTTTTGTATCCGCGCAAGAGGACACAAGAGCATAAAAATAGAAAAACCTAGACTTTTCGTATGCAAAAACAAACCATCGTTGTAAGTTATCTTTAAAGAGGTAAAAAACAAACCTTAGAGAAAGGCGAACACTTCATTAGGCATAACTAAGCGTCAGAAAAACTTCTGTGCTTGAGTAGTTGATAGCTAGCATTGCAAAACAAACACAAGCGGCTATTCGTTTTGTTTACAACCATTGCGATTCACAAGATCTAAGTTCTTAGTTAAGTCAATATAGTGTGGCTTGGGCATTGAAAAAAAAATATGCACAAAAGCACACTTTTATAACCAAAATCCACTCAAAAAGCGAATTGGAGGAAAAGCTAAACTTACCTAACCTTACTCATCAGGCACACAAAGAACACAGCCTTAAACAGTGAAAAGTGAACACTCAAAGAGAAGACGTCGACTAAGTAAAACTCCATACTTCGTGACATTCGCCCAGATTCCGCAATCCATACTGATGACAAGTTTTATAATAAAATGGCGATAATGGACGACTTCTACACCTGAAAAAGTCTACTCCTTAACCATCTGATGCAAAAACACCGAGGACAGAAAATAGATTGTTTAAACCATGAATACAGAGACCACGCGAATCCAATTTAGCCTATGGTGGCCATAAGTTATAAAATAAAAATCCTTGCCGTGCACTGATATGTCCTCTCATGATGGCTACCAATGTTACGAGTCACTAACAAAGCACAAAAAAGTTGCTCTGTTGATGCACAAATCAAACTAAGAGATGCTCTTCAGCACGTGGGTTACATAGCTATCCACACATCAGGGAAATTCGTAGAAAACAGCACAAAAGGCATACTGATGCAGAACCACCACCAAATTCAGCAAATTCAAAAATCGGCCTTGGGAATAAAAATGAGAAAAGGACTTATATGCAATTCACTGCGACCTGATTCTTTCCTAGTTTCCATTGACCATCCACAATGAACTTGTATTGATGCTCTCCCTCAGGAAGATCAATAATTGTGTAGAAGTTCTGTTTGCTGAAGATAAAAGTAGTAATATTAAGCAAAAGGGATGCGAAACCCCAGCTTATTCTAAAAACGTAAACAGAGCCTTTTAAGAACTAATAAGGTTTGGCTACAAGCACATCGAACAATATACAAACCTAAAAGTAGCTGGAACCCTGTCAATGGGTAAACCGCGAGTTACATTAACGCAAAAAAAGGTAGGGAGAATTAGACTACATAAAGGGCTTAATGTGATCGCGTCAAAAAATGCTGCGCATAGCTATAAATGATTGGCCGGAACAAAGCATCTGGAGGTTATGCATTTGTAAACCACCTCTTGACCATCGGAATTTTAGATTTCCAACCGTTGAATGTGCCACTTATGTACACTTCCTTCCCACCACCCTCCCATTTGAAAACGGTAGGAAGTGTAGTATGTGATGGTGTTTCATCAGTTGTGTCTCCCGATGATTCGGGACTCCCAACAACATCCATAAACACACATGGCCGTTCAGGAGCATCTTGAATACGGGAATTGCGGAGTTGATTGGCGATTGCTTCAATCGTGTGACCTTCTGTCAGAATGCTTACAACAGGATCATCGTCGTTGACGGCCTAGTAGAGTGAACTATGGGAATTTGTAGTCATACTTGAGAAGCTTGTAAAATGAACTTCCGTTTTGGAGGATAATACGGATTGCTCATCACACCAACACTTCCTGTGTATTCTTCTTCAATCGAGGAACGTCTTTTCGAAGTACCTGGAGTATTGCCCATTTTAGAGATATTGGAGAGTCAGAGAACTGCCACAACCCAGACTATTCACAGAGCATGTCACCTTTTGGGCTTTTACGACAACCCTAACCAATGAAAAAACAGTATGTATCTTGCGACCCTTACTAGCTAAAATAATTATTATCAAAAATCGCAGCTTTTAAAAAATCATGTCTTAGAATGACTAAATATGTGCCACAAAAATTTTTCTTGCTGGTTTTAACAGCACTTGTGGAAAAAACAAGGAGATGCTGCACAACAAGAGAAGTGTATCGGAATTAAATCCATGCCTAATGAAGTAGTTAGCAGTAATGAGCTCTTTTGTAATTATGTCTGTTGCTGAAATTAACGAGTCCAGGATTAATACAAGATACCATTCCATTATTTGCCTAACGCACACATTCAGCGTTGGTTAGATGAATCACAACAAAGGTTCATTTTGGTAGACCTTCTAAGCGGTAAGCTGCTAGGTTGGAGCAACTATTCATCGAGGAGGCAACCTATGCCTCCAGTGGAGAGAAAAAATCTGATCGTTTGCAAAATCGTGCGTTGCAACCTATATGGTGTTTTCATCCACCTCATCCTCTTAACGCAGAAGTCTGGTTGCGGTGGGAGAAAAATAACGGCGAAAATACTTCAGAAGTACTACGAACTTCCCGGTTTAATTATTTTAGTAATTTTAGTTTGTGCTTTGGAAGTGAGCATTTGTCCACTTTTTCCAGCCTAACACATTGTTCCACTAAAGTTAATTTATCTAGTGGCGGAATAATTTGTCATAATGTATACCAACCCTTCGTAACTTATTATTTTGTCAAGTATTTAACAAAGAGTAATATTAAGAATAAACCACCAAAAGGCAGATTATGGAACTGACGAATTTCTTCAACACTCCCAGCGCAGGTCAAGTACTACATGCATCGCTGGACCTGAGACCTGCGTAACACACCATCGGGAGTATTTGCTGTGGCGTCCCGAGACCTTCCTGAAGACGAAAGAATACACACTGCTCGGGCGGAATATATATATTCGGCATAGAGAAGGTACTTGGACTACTGGCATGGCCCCAAGGCCAGCTCACCCGCTATGACCCCTCGTCGATACAGTGAGATAAACAACCATCGTATCACATCACTTTTTTGGTCAACCTATTTTCATCGTTGTCCTTTAGTGCCATCAAATTTTGTTTTGAAGCATTTTGAGCATACCAGTGTTGTCACGGGTAGTTCTGGGTTATTTTGTTATCCTCAGTGCCGGGGAGAGTTTTCCACCCGAGGCGAGAAAAGGAATTGCCAAAGGTTAAAATTAGTCTCATATTCAAAGATACTGAAAAAGAGACGCCCAACACAGTTTTTAATATATCTTGTGTGACTTCCGGTTTTCTCTTAGCAAAATTACACCACTTCTTAGGCAAGTTTTCATATTTTTCATAAAAAAATTTACTTTGTAGAAATTTAATTTAACGTTTTACTTTATCTATCGACCGACATCCGTACAATATATCGTTTTGCCCCATTCATGTAACTATGCTAGAATTGCTTTCCTTTATGGTGAATATTTTTAGAAATTAACTGGAAACTGAGACACACCCCCTTTCCCCCTTGATGTGGACATTTGAAAATGGATGTTTAATGGATACTGTTACTTTCAATGTTAAATATCTCATCACCCACTTTAGTTTCTACCCATGGATATGTTGGCGAACCTCGCTGGATCGCGCTATTACCGCTGTTGAATTTCTGGAACTACTGTGGCTCTGGCAATATGTTTAGTTCCTATCGTTATGACATTGTGACATTGTCCTCGAAGTGCACAGTAGTGTGGACGAAAGAACCCAATACCTCGGGCAGAATATACATATTTGACATACAGTAGGGCCTGAGGCTACTAGCCTAGCCTGCGGCCAGTCCACTCTGCGAAGGTACAATGGTGGGGAGTTGTCGTCCCCGGCGCTCCTTTCGGTCAAACCCTCGCTTCAGCCACCACAACACTTACAATCAGGACGTGCCAGTCATCGAATCTTCAGGCAACTGAGGAGGTACTTAACCACAACGTCACTGACTGCTTCTAGAGTCTCGTCCTGTATGAACAGTGGATTCGGGGACGGTGGAATGTGCAAGTCATCACGCGTGTCCATCGCTAATCGTAGAAACACTGGCATAAAAGTAGGGTTGTGTAACAAAGGACAGAACTGAGCATAGTTCCATGAGGTAAAGTTTTGCTTTTATTCCTTCTTGCCACGTTGCTCCCACTTCAGAGCTGCCCAGCCATATCTATCTGGGCCTTATGCAGCTAGTAGGGAAGTGGAGGAGGCATTGCGCTTTCATATATTTGATGTCCTTAGGCAAAAACGGTAGGCAACTCCGTAACAAACTATTCCAGCTGGTTCACTGGCGGTGTCGCTTCAGTTGTTAATAGCTATCCTGTAGACCACGGCACTGGGATAGTTGTCGAAGGTAGATGTCAATTTCAGTTCTTCTGTCTGGGGTCATCACCGATTCTCTCATCTGCCCTGCTAAGATTTATCACCCGGCAGTAAAAGTCAGGAGAAATATCCTTTAAGCTAAAATTCACTTTCTTCTGTTACCAATGCAGCGCACCGAGCCTTCCTTGAAGACGAGAGAAGACGTAACACTCAGGTAGAATACACACATTCGGCATGTAGTAAGACCTGGGGCTGCTGGCGTAGCCTGAAGGCCCGCCCACTCGGCTGAAGTAGAATAGCAGAGCACCCGAGTGGGCCTTTGCCAAAACCGAGAGTTTGACAAACAACCAATGCATTACAGTATTGTCGAGATGAATTTTGTTTTAAATAACATTACTTTTCCATACAAGGACGTCTTCTACTAAAATTTATTTGAGCTTTTAGGTTGACAATTTCCCTTCATTTAAACACAGTTGAATTGCTAATTTGCACGATTTCACAATGACTAGAGGCTGGGGTTGCACAGCCTCTGGCTTTGAGTCATCCCGGAGGTACTGCGATGTCAGGCCGTCTTGAGCACTCAACATGGCTGCAAGCACAATTGCAGTGCGAGATGAAACGGCTTCCTCCACCTTGGAACGCACACTTTGACCACACGCAGCCTACCTATCTGGTAAGGAGGTGACACTGGCACTGTAGGAGCACGTTGAAGGCAGGAAACAACGAACACTTTGAGGTTATTATTTGCAGATTAGTTTACGTTACTCATTGGAGCGGCAAATTTCTGGAAAGAGTATTTTATGTTGGGGATTTTCAGAGGTTTTTTTAACCCGATCGACTTACAATCGTTCTGCAAACTGTTTGACAGGTGGTACTATCTCCGTGATTAATTGGCAAGACCGAAAACTACATTGATTTGTGACCTCGGTGTCTGTTAATCTGGAAGGACTCATCCGTAGGTCGAAATACTTCAGGGAATCGGTCGCGGACCGATTCAAGACATTGAACGGCGACCCAGCAAAAGCGTTTTAAAGTGATGTGCATGGAAATCTAAAGGAACCATACTGTATTTTTCAGTATGCAGTCATGCAAAGCGAGTGAATGACAGTACTGAATTATCTCCGGTTATAAAAGAGCATTTTTAAATTGCCGACGTAATCCCAAAGGCTTATTTATATCGCTGATGGACGCTATCAATTTCGGAAAACAGGTGTTCCCCCGGAGTACTGCATTGAAAACCCCTTGACACACCGGCCCCGAGGTGTGTGCACGAACTGTTGGCACAGCAAATTATAGCTTTCGCCCTCAAGATAGCCAAAGCTTCAAATTTTATTACACACCACAAGGAACTTACTCGCACACTATGCACTGCCCCAAAAGCACAAGCCGAGGCGATGGCCAATCGAAAGGTGAACCCTGATATGCTAAAAATTGTGCGACACGTTTCTCGCTTGCTGTGTGCTTGTGCACAGATGGGGTGTGATTCATGTCGTTGAGGCTTTACCACAGATACTCACTGCGACGGAAGGCCCCAACAGAAGTCAAAGTAGACCATGTGGGCAGAGGAATTCGGTCTTGATTTCAAAAAGAAAAAAAAAGCTTGTGCATGTATTTCCGCGATAGAGTTTGGACGATTTACAAACGAAAAGAATGCAAAACATATCCGGAGAAATGTGTGTAGTTGAGAAGGACGTTTAAGCTGGAACGTTATCGGTACCACCGTTCCTGTTTGAGAGGAGAGATAAGGGAAGATAACAACTAAGGCATGGTGGAGGCAATGTGTCGTTGGTTGCGGACTCGACCGGAGAGCAGAGCCAACTTGTGCAGTGAAGCTCCGTGGCTTTGCAGCACCGGCAGATCCAAAGGATAACGCAGATAGTCAATTTTGTTCTCGAAGATCTAGAAATACCAAAATGAGTACGATTTAGTTACAAGGAGCAAATACAGCTGGTTACATTTTAGAAGACGCCAGCTGGTAATGTGAAAATAGCGTAGAGGAAAAGTTCCAACTGTGGTAAAAATCCTAGTCCACCCCATGTGAGAGATGCACCGGCTGTTCCAACTATCTACGGACAAAAAATGCAAACTGGATGGTAACAAACACTAAGGCTATATGAGAGCCACGACATGGTAAATCCGAGTGGCAGGTGAATGTAGGAGACGCACAAATGTACTTATCTTAGTACTAACAGTAAAAGGAGTCGATCAAAAGAAAAAACATCAATGTATATAGGTATTGTGATTCCATTATGTCGCTACCGGATACTAAATATTAGAAACCATCGCCATCACACACATCGACCATCGTTATTCCATGCAATCTCAATTATCAAGGACCTGACTAAGCAAAAAACTTAAAACAGGAATAAAAAAGGTAACAGTAACCAAAACAACTTACTTGGCAGGTCTCTGGAATCATTGTTTGGTCATAATGCATTAAGCATCCGTTGACATAGAGCACACTGGCGGCAATCGGCTCTGCCAGATGAAGAACTTTGTAGTTGCTTGAGGCGACTTCACCGATAGACTAAAGAAACAAAGCATTGCTAATTACAGGGAGACTTGGAAAGTGAAGCCTAACTGGGTTGAGGCCGTCTCATAGAAGATGAAGCAAATAATGTTCAAACCTTCGAGTGATTTAAATACAAGCCTAATTTCAAATCTCTAAACAATGTATAGGAAATTTAAGAGCAAGAGCAACTAGCAAACAATAAAAAAAGTGCTACAATGACACTATAACCAACTAAGGAAAGTAAATTATGAAATTTGTAGAGGAACGTAATACTGAAAAACAAATTGAATTCTGAGATAGAAGTCAAAAAAGGCCAAGAACACCACTTCGTAAACAGCTAAATGTGATTATGTGGCTGTTAGATATGCTGAATATAAATTCCAGACACTTTGCCTTACTTTAAACACCTTGCGAGCAGCCTCGGAATTCCCAATGGCCATCACATTGATGCCAGCCATACAGACAGCATCCTTTAAACAACTGAGAGGAGATGGCACCGCTACAATCGTCGTGGGATACTCCGGAAAAGCCCGAGCGACGGACTGTGCTCCTGCCTCATTAGTATGGGTGGAGATTCCGACGATTATCTCCTGACCTAGATGGGGGAAGGGGTAAGCAAATATGCACGTCAGAATCCCCTAAAGACTAGACTACACTTCGAGAAGTAATGAACTTCATTTAGTTGTTCAAAAAATTGCATTAAGAACAGAAGATTAAGTTACCTGTGAAAAGTACATCACTACCTTCCAGTTGCGCTTGGTCATTGTTTAACTCAGCAATAGTAAGCCCAATCTCCTTCTTTAATGTCTGACGGACAACACTCACTTCGCCTTGTCGGTCCGAACCGAAGGGTCGACACATCAGAGCCGTTCCATTTATTATAATAGCAATATCCCCAACTTTGTGAGCATTAGGGCGACGTTCTTCGGGTCCATATTCTAGAATATTGACCTCCAACTGACGCAGTGCATCAACGAATCTGTCATGCTCAGCTTTCGCCTTTTCATAATCATTGCCAAATGCCTCGCGCGATGGTTGAATGACCAAAGCAGTGGTGTATTTTAAAGCCATAGGACGATTGAACTACGCAGGCAACTTGTTTCAATGACGTTAAGGTCAGCAAGATATGCTATGCAAGTGAATTCATCAAAAAGTGCTTTTTTTCTCCAAAAATTGGTATAAAACTAGCTTAGAGTATTGAAAAGCTTTACTGAAGCTAAATTATGGCTAACTTGCTGCAATAATAAGGAAAGGGTAATTTGAGGATGGGAGGTTGATTGAACTAAGTTAATATACATGCGTCAACTTTACATTAAAAATTTTCACAAAAAAGATAAAAATCACCCTTGACAAAGTTTTGGCAATCAGTGGATGTAATAACTATAATGGCAAAGGTACCTGAAAGGCACATAAGATGGAAGTCTATTCCAAGAAAATTACTGGACTCTAGAATGCAAAAATAAAAAAATCAGGATTCTAATTTGACAGCAGCTTTTTTATACCTATAGCTTTTGTAAAACGCTCCTTCAATTCGACTGACTTGTTCTTCATGGCTACAGTAAACGGCTAGTGGTATTGATGCAATACTTGGATTGCCTTTAGCTTCCCCTCTGTACTTCTTTTGAGCTGCTCCACCCTCTGGCCATTTTATTGGCCCTCTAGCCTTTTTACACTTCAAAAAGATTTATTCTGTTCACGCATTAGGACATCTTTCGACTTGAGGAAGGACTTGATGGGGCAGTAGAAAGCAAATCCATTTCCATAGAACAACTCCTTTAGAGTATGTTTTCAACGACTAAAATTTAATGTGAAGGAAAAGTGTCCATGCCACAGAGGTGTTGAAAATGATACCAGCCCTTGACATCTATCTCCTTGGTAGGCCGTCTACGGTATTTGCAACTTTAAAATCAAAATACCCACAGTATCTCATCTAACTGTTCACTAGCTAAGTAAGAGTGCGAGTGATATGGCTGAGCAAGTAGGAAGTGGCAATAACTTTTGCTCCCATAAAAACCATTTTTTGGACCAGCACTTGGTAAATGGCTCTATCTTTAGGCGGTAGACACTAATAGGGGCCTGCACATTGCTTTTTCTCCTAACACAACTCCTAAATATGACAAACTTCAGATCCAGGAAAGTTGTCTAGATAGATTAGTAACGTTGCCACCAAGTGTCATCTCAGTTGCACTTGAATTTAATGTCTAGCTCTGGCGATTTTGTGAACAATTGCCAACGCAAGTGGCTGATCATCGGCAGCGCCAGAGAAGATGGCCAAAAATGAATGTGGAATATGCAAGGCTCTGGGTAATTTTTACAACTTTCTTTATATTTCTTAGGTAGAGTTAGGACTCTGAAGGGGGCAACATGGCCATAAACCATGTTTTTTCTATTCTTTTAGCGCCTTTGTGTTCCAAAACCACCCATTCTGATCTAAGATTATGACCTCCTCTGTCGTCATGTAATAATCGAGAGGCTGTTTTGGGTGCTAATCCTCTTATTCTAGTAGATTTATAATCTTGAAAGTAAAAATATTTTTGTGCTTTCAGCGTGTTTTAACCTAGTAATGATTGTCTATGAATTTTTTGACTTTAGGTAAGCAGCTGTTAAATTACACTGCATCGATGTCATTGGATCGCTAAACACTTTTCACCTATTAACTAATGTAGTGAAAGAGGTTAACTTTCGGGAATATATAAATTTGTGACTATATCTTTCCATCGAGTACAAACCTATTGAGTTTAACCCTGCTACCAGCTAACTTTTTTCAGCCTTGAGTGAAGCGAAACACATTAAAACAAGCAAAAATTTTTTTATGAAGTCATAATTTTTTTGGCTGAGGTATAAGGCGTAAGCTTAATGGTCCTCGAGCCAAACTGCGTGTTGTATGCGTTGCACTTTATAAATGTGATTTATTCGGCTCACAGTATAAATTTCCTTTGTAGCCAATAGGGAATTGATAGGTGGTGGTGGATTTCCTTTCATTTGTGGAGGAGATGCTTTCAGCTAACCCCGTTAGTTCGTTTTATTTTTCATTTATTATGCTTCACTGCAATGTTATTTTTTATCCCTTTCCAATTTTAAAGGGAATCTGTTCTCCACGACTTAACTCATGGAGACCATCCGTCCCGTTTTGTGCTCTTAATATAGTCGATAAAATTGTATTTGCCATTGAAATAGGAGGCATTGTATATCTCTTCACAATCGCTTGACCTTTTCCATGACTTGGTACGTATTCGTCACCCGAACTTCATTATTTGATAAAACTGCTCGGGTTCAAACGCACCTATTCTGCTTTAACTCACAGAATTCCTAGTCCGTTTCCTGAAATCATTTTCTTTTACTATTTAATGTGATTACAAGAGCCATTATTGGTGATATTTTTGGTTGATTTCCTGCAGTTTGAACTTATCAAGGCGTCCATCTCATGCGATTATTTTTTCCCTTTTTCTTGTTGGAATTTAACCGAAAGTTGTTACAGACGTCCCGTGATGAATTTTTTTGTTGCACAAATTTTTGCATAATTCAACCAAACTGGATCATACGATTTTTCTTCGTCCTTGTCCCGTTAACTTGTAGTAACCTGTCCCTCTTTTTAGTCTTTCTTCCGGATTCTTGAATGTTTGCTGCGACAATTCGAATGGATGAATCCCCTGTTTTTCTTGAAGTGAACTGTTTATCGTGTATTCTTATCAGTTTTTACTAAACTAAGCCTACAGTGGTAGTACTTTTTATTACTTGCAACTGAATCAGAACCATACGTGAATAAATCTTCTGCATAATTTTGATGCATAGAAGTTCATCGTCCATATTAAGTTAGGCTGCAGCCACACAATTCCTATCACAACAAATTCACTCCTAATCTTGGTGCGCATTTGTAAGTTTTCCCTTGCGGTTCCTTCATGCTCCTAATTTCATTCTTGGGTTAATGAATCATTTGTACGATTGACTCAGCAAATCTTAGCTCATCTCGGCGTTCTGTCACGTTGGGCGATATTAGCGATATTGTCTCACTTGACGTTGCGGTATTTTAATTACTACATCCTGTTTGTGGTCTTTCTTTTTTTATCACCGAAGGCATGGTCTGTGCTTGTTTTAGTTTGGCTTCATGATTCATTTCCATGCTACCGCGTTCTTTATTACAAATGCAGTAGGCGAACTTATTCACTATAAAAGAATGGCCCATCAAGTTCCCATTATTAACCTTTTGTGAATACTCGCTATGCCGATGCAACCTAAAGATATTTTCATGATGAAAACACTACCGAGTCATTTCCATGAGCCCCTCCCCCCTCCCTTGAATGTATAATGTAAGTAAAAATTGAAATACAGCCTTACTTTACAATTAATTCTAAATACCTTAAGATGTCAAATGTTTGCATTAAAAATAGTGAGCACTAAGCTGGTGTAAACAGTCAATTACTTTGTCACGTAGTGGGCCTGGATCTACAATTTGAACATGATCTACAATTAGTCTTTAAAACGTACTTCCGTTTAAACTTGAAGCCAACAGTTGTTGATCTTAAATTGCTGTGGTACAGAATGCACCCTTGAAATTAGCTGCTATTGCGAACGAACTACTGCGAAGGCGCAATTTCGTTAGTAATTTAACTCATACGCTATTGCGGTGGCATTGCTCTACCCCTATATGTCCGTATTTGTTTTTGCAGCACTGCACTGCGTATCAGTGACATATCAGCCGTGTTGAACAGGAGGCCTGTTGCACGCATTATGCTATCATAATTTATCAGAACCTAAAATTAATAGCAACCAATCACAACTGGTTGCTAGAAATTTCTCATTTTTGCAAATGCAGGCCTGTTGACTGCTCCAATCTTAATTGAATCGCTAAGTAATTCTCCGATTTGTTTCCTCAAGCATCTGGGGACAAAATATTGTGTCAGGTCAGATGATATTTTTTTTTCTACCGTAAATTAAATCGGCTTGTTGTGGGCCATGAATAGAATGTAGTGCGGGGCATTGACATCTATTGAAGGGTCTTTTGTGTGTTTATGGTGGCTTTATCCCTCTTCGTTGTGTTGTAGCAAGTAGATCCAGAAACGCTGTATGACGTAAACGAGAGAATAGGTCGGGGCGCCTTTGGGGAGGTCTTCAAAGGCGTAGACAAGCGGACCCTGCGTCCGGTCGCCATCAAGCGCATCGACTTGGAAGAGGCATTAGACGAGTTGGAGGACATTCAACAGGAGATTAGTATCCTCTCGCAGTGCGACAGTCCCTATATCACTAAGTACTACGGCTCTTACCTCAAAGGCACCAAGCTGTGGATCATCATGGAGTTCATGGGCGGTGGATCCGCTCTTGAGATTCGCAAGGCCGTCATCATTGACGAGCCCAACATCGCCACTATTTTGCACGAGGTCCTCATGGGCCTGGACTATCTGCACAGTGAGGGGAAGCTGCACCGTGACATCAAAGGTTTGTCGCACTTCCCTTTTCCATTTCCCTCTTCCATTCACTCTTATCACATCAAATCCTAACCCACAATTGCCACAGACTTGCATTTGTCACCCTTCTCTTCCTACAAAACTTCGTTGCTTCGATGACAAGGTATCACTTAAGATTATTAGCGTTTCGGCTTTCAAAAATATGGGACCGTTGCATTCACGCAGCCTCCTTTACACGAAGAAGAAATGAACTTTTATTTGCCAAACTGTTGAGCTGGATGAAGCGAACGGGGTTTTTGGTTGTCTCAGAATCTAGGGTGTGCAGATTTTTAAATGATTTTAGAGTGTTATTTAATTGGCGTCGACTGGAATTGAACCGACAGTCTCAGTCGGGAAATTAAAATGTGGCGAAAAAAGTGTGATGTTTTATTCATAAACCCAGCAAGTCTTAGTAGAAGCGACAATTCTACATGCAATAGTTATTTCCGTGGTTGGAACTGAATCCACCGAGGAGGGGGCTATTCTTCATGTGCCTTTGGGTGTTTTCAATTCCCCACAGACGTAATATTCACGTATGGCGTCGCGACTGACAGCGCTAGTTGCGCATATGATTATGAATGCTGATTAATAGATCGATGTGGCGTGTGCAGAACGCGTTCAAGCGTTCATCATCCACCTCGACGCAGACCTCCATCGCATCACTTGAATAGGTCTCTTTAATTGATCACACGGCAACAGTTTGCCTAAAGTGCTCCCTTTCATGCTACCTTCCAGGTCTCCATCGTGCTTAGGCTTCGGGAATGCGAATACACTCGTTTTAACCCTCATCTGGCAGCCAAATTTGTAGCACATGGATTGCGTGAAGATCTGCACGGATTTTTATCGTACTCTTGTTTAGGTTTGGATTTCAAGTGACACTTGCGTGTTCCCTTCTCTGGCTAGGCTTCTACCACTGTTTATTCACTTGGTTGCCCCATTTCCACACCGTGTTTTAAATGACTCATGCGAATTGTTGTAATGCAATTGCTCGTAGTGAAACTCAGGCGTGTTTACCACATGCTCTATAAAAAAAAAAATTTTTTCTCAGTTGTTGTACTTGTTCATGCACAAAACTCGCCATATGCAATAAATTTTTCATAATTAGAAAATCCGACTCGTGAGTTGAAGCAGTAAGGAGAGGGCTCACTTGAGAAAGTGGGCGGCAAATGTGTGTCTTATTATTGTTACTATTTGTGACGTGTTAAAATAGTATTAGCAGTCGGCTTAAGGCATGGTCACAAGTATCTCCTACGTATAAGTCGGTACTCACAAGCCCCTCCGATTGTCGGTAGTTTAGCTTAAAGCCTAGCTCAACTTACTCTATCCCAACTCATTGTTTACTGAAGTTTGTCACCTTCCAGTCCTGGACCAATTGTCGCCCACCTGCGCTTTAGCGATCCTGGCGATCCACGCACAGGCTTTGTGATGCAAAATGTACTGCAGAGGATTTTTGCGGAGCTGACGCTTTGCTCCTCGAGCTCGCAGTCCAAACCTCGTCTTTGTTGCAATTTGTGTAGCATTTCTTATTTTCAAATGTCGCAGTTTGCCCATATGATACACGCCAGCCGTTATCTTTCACGCGCGCTTAAATGACTCATTTTGGTGACTCCCGTTGACCTAACTTAATTGCGAGTCCAGTCAATCTGTCTCCACTTCTACTTTAAAAACACTGGAATTCTATCTCGACAACGTCTCTTGCAGCTGCCAACATCCTCCTCTCAGATAAGGGAGAGGTGAAGCTTGCGGATTTCGGAGTCGCCGGCCAGCTAACCAAAACAACGAAGAAGCGGGTAACTTTCGTCGGAACGCCCTTTTGGATGGCACCAGAGGTTATCAGGGCCTCCTCCTACGACCACAAGGTACGTTCACCTACTTATTTAATTTATTTTTTTAACATGTACACTGGCCTTCACATCAGCAAGATATTTACGTTTGTGCCATCAGGAATAACTGCATTGAATTCAACTAAATGTAATTTAGGCGGGTTCAATCGTTTGGTTGATAGTTTTGTGTCAAATGTCCGTCCCCCTAAACATAGGTACACAATTTTGGAGGGTTTTACTGCATCATCCTAACTCCAGCTAAAAGCCTCCTTTTCCTTAACTTTGGTTTTTTGGTTTTGTCTAGACCTGGTAAAACAGACTTGTGTATAGTTATATCAGTTATTTATCGTGAATGTCTCGGGGTTATCAAATCATCATAATTTCGCATAAAATGCACCCAAGTTCATGATTTCCTTCGTAAGATTGTCATGCTGCATTTTCCACGTTTACCGTATTGGAGTTGGCCATTTCTACGCCTATACCCCTGCCCTCGCTGTGACTAGATTTTAACTTTTTTGAAATGTACTAATTGACTAATATGCTTTTGTGTTGTACGTTTCCCCCTCATGCTTCAACCGCTGTCTAAACGTCGTGTGGTTGGCTGCGTCAGGTCAACGCACAGCTTTTCTGTCAATTAATTGTCCCAGAGTCCAACATACCTATCACCTCAAGGACACCAATTCCCACCTTTTATTGGAGGACGTAGAAGAGCAGTAACATTGTATGTAGATAGTTCGTGACTCTGAAACACAAAATTGTAGTTGTAAGCGCTTGCCTCATTGCGGACTTTATGAAGTCGAATCCCTGCCCTGCGCTTAACATCAGCAATTGAGGTCGTCTAAGTGACACACTTAATCTGTGTCCTTTGTTTGCTGTTCTCGCAAAGGTGTACTCGCTTGTTTGCTTTCTCTTCAGCGTTTCTTAAGTACAAGCCTCTAGTTTTTTATCACCGCCTCGGTGTGTCAGTTATTATTGCGTGCGAATACTCCATTGAGTGATACTTGCCTTGCTCCAAAATTACTCCAACGTGCAAAATATAACGTGACTACTTTGTTATTGCGCTAGTTTTATACTCCATTTTAAGTGAAGTTGTGTTAAGGTCGTTTATGCGTTACGAGGTAGCTCATGCTCCCGCTTTAGTTTGCTTCGTGGTTTACATTTCTATGTCAGCATTTTAAGCAGCATGCGTAATTGTCTATCTTCATTCTCTAAAAGGGTTATGGGGGCGGTGTACTGCATAGAACTCTTCCTCATTTTGATCAATCTTTAAGAGTAAAAGTAGATTCACTCCCACCATCTCCCGTCTGTGTACTTTGTTTAAATCGCCTTAAACTAGTCATATTTTTGGTTTGTCTTTTTTATGGTGCGAGCAACTGTTATTGTTTCTGCAAGTAAATACTTTTCCGATCTATCTATGAGGCATAGCATCAGTTAAACTTGTTATTTCCAGCCAAATGTTTCATGTTTTATTTAACCTCATCTTTAACGCACACACGCAAATTCCAATCACTAGTGGCAGTCTTCATAAATTTGCCGTTAAAGTGCGGACAGTCACCTGCTCCTTTTGCAAATATCACGACCCACATTCCCCCATACAGCCTGTCCACCCCTTTTCGAGATTCACTGGCATTTTGTCTCAACATTGGATGAGGTTTATTCGTGTGACACGGTTGTACGATGACAGCTAGTTAGTTACCTGCTTCCTTTTTTTTGGCCTCATCCCCTCCGAAACAATCTTCAAGGTATGCGAATTTTTCCTACTTCCTTCTATGCCTACTCGACTCGAAAGTCTCATATCTTTTCACCGGCAACATTTTTGGTCCCCGCTAAAAACAAGTCGTAATTGCCCTTGCTAGCCCCATCAGACTTGCTAATTGGGTAATTGTGGGTACGTGGTCGGGATTGATCTGCGACGATGTGGTTTTACAATTACAACCTTGCAACAATGAATATCAAGTGTTTTATGTTGGCTAATTGTAGGTTATTCATACTAGCATATGAGTAGATTGCAAGTTGATGGAATTCAAAAGGCTTAGCTCATCCGTAAGAGGTCAGGAATGATAAATTATGCATCAAAATAAAATTCTTTTAAAATCTTATTTATTAAATAGCTAATGTTATTGGATGAAATTCCAGATACTGGTTTCTGTGGTAGGTCAGTAATTACGTTCATTTGTGGGTATACCACCTACTTGAGTCCTAGGCAGTTAGAGAATGTACTGTTAAATTATTTCATGACTTTCGTCCATATTTGTGCTCATCTCGAAAGAGGGAGTCAGTGTGACGCCTGCTATTGTTGTCGCTATAGGTGAACCTCTGTTGATTGCAAATCATGGCTTTTGTTTGCTGTTGTCAGCTTCAAGTGCTACCATCCTCCTTCCCACTTCAAGCTCCAAAACTGCGTTGTCTACAAGTCTTCAAAGGACAAGTTTGAGCTGGCAATTTCAAAATTAGGCATTTTAATCGGCTACTTCATTGAGAAATCCGGGTATCCACTGTTTGTACTTTTTCATGGAAGCAGTTTTAACGGCTCCTTCTAAGTTACTTCTAGAAGTTTGGGGATCTCCCTTGATTAAATGCACGCCAAAATTAAGTTTCTTTGCACCGTTGAATTTTTGCTGCTTACACTTGTCTATATGATAGAAATAAGAGATTATGATTTGTCGTTTTGTGTTATTCACTTGTTGTTGTGGTAGGCGGACATCTGGTCGTTGGGGATAACGGCAATCGAGTTGGCAGAGGGCGTGCCGCCCCACTCCGACGTCCATCCGATGCGCGTCCTCCTCGACATTCCCCGTAACCCGCCACCCAAGCTGCCTGAACGCTACTCTTCCAATTTCCGCGATTTCGTCCAGTGTTGCCTCGTCCAACGTCCCGAGAACGTGAGTCACTCATTCTCATCCCCGTTTCTCCTTGTTTTCGCTTTTTGTGCCACGCAAAAATTGCGAATCTAACACATGTAGACAACATTTATTTTTCTTTGGTTTGTAGCGAGGAAATTGGAAATGTTATTCATCTGCTTATCTTTAAACGTCAGATTTCAATTCAGTCACCTAACTGATAATAAAGTTGTTGCTATAGCATCCCAATCAAGCAATCACTCATTTACTTGGTGCGTGTTAAATTGTCCTCTTCATTTTGATCAATTTATTTTTGACCACCTAAACGGCATCCACTACTGCTTCTTCGACTAAACACCAGATGTCTTAACCTCGTTCATTTGTGGACGTATTGTGATTTATTATCGGATTACATTGGGCAAATTTGAGTCTGTGCTGTGTTGTAGGTTCGGTACTTCAAGGTACTTTTGAGTTGAGATGACGCGATGCTGTGGTTTCGCACCAATGTAAATAAACCAGTTCAGTGCGCGTGATTACTTCACAGCTGGAATTTAGGCTCAAATTCACTTTTCCTTTGAAGATGCAGCCATGTCCACATTTTCCTTTCATTTGCCTTCGCCTACAGTAGTACTGTTCGCCACTTCCGTGCTTACTGTCACATGTCTTCTCTTTGTATACACGCCCATACACACCTACCGTTTCGGTGCGGTACCTTGGGACTTCGATTCCGTGCTATGGCACTTGTGTGTGCGCTTTTTCTCGTAATGAAAAAATTTCTAAAGCATTAGAATGCCGAAAATTCGACTTCTTCTGAATGGTTACTTTGAATTTTGATGAGTAAAGTGGTGAGTTCTCACTACGGCTATTCTCAACTTTTGGATCACAACCTATTCATAACGGGGAACATTTCGTGATTTTCGTTTGTCAATGTTTGTTTTTAACGGAACTGGAAGGAGTGCTGCTTCTCCAATCAATCGGTCCCTTAGCACTGGCTTAATGAAATTGTTTTTTTTCTTCTAATGTGTGTGTGTGTGTGTGGGAGGGTAGTGGAAGGAGATTTGCTTGCACCTGCCTGCCTGTTTGGGTGCTTATGTCTAATGGCATTGTCTAGACCTTGGGCCCTATAGACTAATTTTCCTGCCGGTTGTGGCGTTTCAGTCTAACTTGTGCATTGGTGTTGCTCCAGTCAGTGCGACGAAGCGAAGGAGTTTGTCGAGCCTAAGTATTCATTGCTCAACCGTCTTACTGGTGGCCGTGGTTCGGCGCTAGACAGGACCTCCTCTGCAACAGGCATTTGATTGGCTCACCCACTAGTTTGCCTTCTTCAGCCTTATTTATTTCCCCAATCTACTGCTAATGCTGCTGTTGATGCTCTTGCAAATTGTCCCCAAGCACCGAGCTTTTCGTGAAAATTGAGCCTATTTCTAATGCTACTCTTCATCAGTGCAGGTAGTAGGGGGGTTGTTAAGCCGAAGCTAATTGCCGAATAATGCTAATTCCCACTATTGCATCACTTTGGGTTGACGCAAGAGGTTAATGTAGTGGTGGAATTGTAATGGCACTTTAGAATAAAATGTACGGTTCTGTGGCTTTTACACTCCCCAACTAATATCGCTTTTTCGTACCGTGCAGCCCAGTCCCTCATTACTGGATCGAGTCATGTATATGGGCAATGTATACTCGGTTGAATTTAATTTTCTATCCGCGTTTGGAGGTAGAAATATGCTTTCTAGTGTAATATGTTGTTTGCAAACGTGCTCAAGTTTTCCTTGCATACGCTAGAAGGCGACGGGCTTGTGAATAAATGCCATGGAGGGACCGAGGAGCTGGATGGCTGGAAACATATTTGGTCTAATTGGGGCTCACCATAGCCGAAACAACAGGAAAAAACACGGGCGGCTAAAGAAACGCTCAATGTAAATGCCTCATTGGTTAATTTGTGTCTCATTGAAAAGCGGCTTATTTTCTGATGTAGGAGTTTGACTTACTCATTCGTCCCTCTCTGTGAAAGACGGCTATTGTTATACTAGCCACATTTAGTACTTTATACGGACCGCTTCATTCATCGCTTTCGTTCTGTTTGATGCAGTGCATGTGTGTCCTTTCCAATTTCTCTGCTTTTTGGGCTCTAATTCAGGAATTTGCCTTTGGTAAGATATTGGAGGTGCTTACTCATATTCTTATCAGTCTTTTTAAACAAAAGTAGTGGCCGGATAGTTGCTTTTTTGTGGAAAATGCATCATCCATGTCACTTATTGAATACTATCTTTACCCCCCATTGCCCAAATGCGGTGAAGTCTAATTGACCCCCTCGTTTCGTGTTCGTTTCGTTTTATAGCAACGCATATATATTTGCTTTCTTTTGTATCCACTAACAGCGTTACTCGGCCCAGGAGTTGTTAAAGCATTCATTCGTGAAGAAACCCCGCAGGACAGTCTACCTACAAGAGCTAATAGAAGCCTATCGAGCCGCACAACTTCGTGGTACTTCTGATGAAGACGATGATGACTCTGATACCGTGTAAGTCTCTTGTTAACGTCTTTAATACCTATTTATATCGGCATCAAGGTAGCGCTTGGGTAACCTTAATTATCGCTTCCCTCTCATGTCGCGAAACTAGTGAGTTTCATGGCCTCACCATTTCCCTTTAAGTTTGGCGCGACAGCATAGCGACAATTTGAATGGACATGTGCCCACTTTCAAATGGAACTTTAACACCGTCAAGATGCCCACTAACGCATCTGTTGTGGCACAATTTGGTGGGAGTGGCGGCGGCAGCACTAGTGGAGGTGGTGGCGTGGTCCTTCCATCAGTTCCCGCCCATGGTTCGCCCTCGCCAAAAAAGCCAATCACATCTCAGATGCCACCTCCTGGTCGCAATTTCACTCCACCTGCTGTGTAAGTCAACTACTACTTTCATCTCCAGGTAATTTCGGAGAGGCACGAAAACAAACGCGTGCCTTATTTTTGTATCACAAGTATTATTTACCCGCTGGTTTATTTTCAGTTCACATTCTTTATATCCCACACAGTCAATAAATATCAAGATTAATTCGGCATCCAGGAAAGATTTTTATGGTTTAATTTCAGGCGGCACTTGGTTTAGGTGGCGCCGCTCTATAGTACAAATGTCCTCGGAAATATGAACACCGGGTAGGGTTAATGCACAAGCACGCATAAGAAGGCGGAAGCTAAAGCGAAAGGTGGTCGGTGCGAATTCCGCCGAACATTTGATGCAATGACTGTCCTTTGTTCGTGCGGAACGGGGATACCTGTGTGTAGAAATGCTTCGTTTATTGACTTTAAATGCTGGGATTGCGCATTCTTTGGTGGTAAAACGCAGTAAAATACCGGTACCAGTGTGATATGAGGGGAAAAGTCTTATCCGTTTGACTTTTACGGTAAGTCTATATGCAACATTTGATATCCTCTGCATCTGGTGGGAATGAGGAAGGTACGGATGGACTTACAATCAAAATAAATAATGCGGCCTACGGGCTTGATGTCACTAGTCTATGTTAAGTACTCATCCTTTGATTGGCATGGTGCGATATAGTAAATAGTCAGATCTTGGTGCTTCGAGCTGAGAATCCGGGCAATGGGAGCATGTTGTAATCAACGTTTTTTGGTATTATGTTGTAGACCCGATGGTGGGTTGGCAGGTCAGCGCCAGTCGTGGTTCGCGGGTCAGCAGCCAGCGTCACGGTTTTCGGAGACGCCAAATCGTACGCCTCCGACCGCCGCAGCCAACCACCGCGCACCACCTCACTTCATCAATGACGCGCGCTCCCCGAACAAACAGACCGTCCCGCCCCTCGTTCCTAACCGCCCAAATGGTATATCATTACTCGTGTCTCTTAGTACTTTTCATCATGGCCGTCTGATTTGTCTTGGTTTTAGTATTTTGCTTTGGATGCTCAAAGGATGGGAATGCACCATTCATTGCTGCCAAGATCTGCGTTTCGCATCCTTGTGATTTCTGGTCCGCTTGTGGTCATTCTTTATTCTGCTCTGGGTGCTCATTGAGTGATAATGTCCCACCTAATCTACACAAGTTCAAGCAATTCTTTTGCCTTTCGCCCAGATGCTAATGGGCTAGGGTTATGTCATTTCGCGTCGTTGGAGGTTGCGCCAACTGTCCCGGAGTATTACTGGATTCTTAGTGTATGGAGCCCTTCTTCTAATCCACCATTAGTCTTTCGTTTTTTGCTGTTTCGTTGCATATATGCACCCAAGGGCTGCACTTAAGTGTGTGGACTTGCTTCTCACCATTAGACTGTGAGCTTGTGCTTTTTGTTGGTCCAAAATTACCCAATCGTCTTTCCATTTACTCACAAACCATCGCAGGACCCGTTTGATGCGTACTTGTGTTCTTTCGTTATTACTGAACAGTCGCTTTGGTCGCGTACCCTCCTATGATTCCACTAGCGCTTAGATCTTTCTCTTTTGGTACTTTAAAATTGGCAGTGTACTATTCAACGGGCTCAACGAATGTTCCAGTGTGTTTAGACTCACATAACCTTTTTGTTTAGGCAACTTCCTTTACAGCGAGTAACGGTATGCCGCCTACTAACTTTTCCAATGGTTACACTTCACAACCTTAAGTTGTGAATCCTCATTCTATTTCAACATCATTAAGCTTAGGTCATATTAATAGCCACCTATTTAGTCATCATCCCAGTACAGATAATTTGGTGAAGGTTGCAGTCAAGACTTCTGCGCATAGGTTCTCTTAGCTTGCGCACTTTTATCACGTCTTTGCACTCACAAATTGACTATAAATTTACTTTTTTAATCGCCTCTCCAGCTTCACCCCTTATGAAGACTTATTCCTTCGCTTTCAACACCACTTCATTGCCTTATTTTTCCAAAGTACTGCCCAGTTTTGTGCAAAAGCGTCTAGGCGGTTCAAACTAGTACCTCCTTGTTGAGTTGCGACTTTTACTTAATGGAATTACCCGTTACGCGTGCCAAAATTTATATTCCCTGCTGATTGCCATGATGTGGTTGTTAACAGGCAAGTTTTAACTTGTTCCAGTCAAACCTTACACATGGTGTTATGTACCCTCAACTGTTTTCCGTTCACTTTAATTTGTGTTCTATGCATGTTTTTTCCGCGGTTATCATGATTATCAACTTTTCCATGGCATCGGGGTTACTCTTAATGAAGGTACTCACCATACGTGTATATGATAGAGGTAAAGCTCGCCACTCTAGATTGCAACAACGCTGATCGTGGTTGTGAAGAGAGACCGTAATGGAAAGGACAGTAAATGTATTTTAAGTATTTGCTGCCATTTCGCTTTACAGCGGGGCCAGCTGGCCTTTCGTCGTCTGCAGCAGGTTTAGCGCTTCGCTCATCGTCAGCTAATCCCATCCCCAACTCTTCCTCACCCAAAAGTGGCGACTTCAAAACTCACATTCGCCCCTTGCTGCTTGACGTAAGTCACTGTTGTCGCGTCTAGAGTTGGTTCCTTTCTCGTGCACACCCATTATCCCTTGTGTTTGTGCTTTGCAGATCCAGCGGATGTACGAAAACGTGGCCTCCAACCACTCTTTCTGTATCGACTCGCTCACCCGCTCCTTCGATCGCGCGGACACGCAAATTGCCAGCTTTACCAAGTCCTTTGTCATCGAGCTCACCCGACAAATCCTTAATAACGACCCTAGTATCACTGGAGAGCGCAAGGAACAGGCCATTCGTCGAGCCATGAGGTAAGTGTTACTTGTTGAATATTTCTGGTGTTGAGGCGATTTTGTAGTCTTTTAAGTGAAGCATCTTACTGTCATGGCGACCTCGATTTTTGTATCCAGTTGCCATCTCCATACTTCGATTTCGCAAGCATGTGGGTACACAAGGTAGTTCATATGCAGTTCAAAATTTCTTGAGTGAGATTAGTACATTCTTTGAGACAATCTACAAAGCAATCTCCCCGTTGTCTCCTCCTTGGATGAATGAATCATACAGGATATCAGACACTCGCGGTAGGGGTGGTTGGCTTTAGCTGTGGCAATATCAGCAGAGGCGTCCCGCCTGCGAGCTGCGGCTATTGACTTTGTCCTGGTCGACGCTGATTCGTAGGACACAAGTGAGTGTAATCGCGGCCGTTTAGTTCAGCACTGGGTTGCAGGAAAAGCCGTTAAGCTGCTCTCCTATTAGTTAGTTTGTAATGCCTTTTCTCTTTCATATATGTGTAGAGCTTAAATCTTTCCAAGTTTAGTGAAAATTACGAAGGTATGTTTCGGCAGGGAATTGGCTTAACCTCATGAATTTCACGATCCTACATCTGATGAATTGGATTCTCACTAAACTTTCCAACCGCTCCTTGTCTCGGTTGCATTTTATATTCGTTGTTATACTAACTTTTAAAGAGTACTTGGGCAATGTTTTAAATTTTCGTTAGAATAATTAGCAATCTGAGGAATCTATGCACAAGCCCGATTAAATAATGTCATTCCACTTTTGTTACTTAAATTTAATAAGTAGTGCCTTTTTGCAAGGTGGTTTGTTTGTTTTTTAGTCATCTGGAGTGAAGGGTCATGGCCCGTGCTCGGGAGGCTGGTGCGGTTGTCGTGAGTTTCACCTTTGCTTTCCCCATCTTTTCCATAAATTTCCTCAGACATAATAGTAGCGTGGGTAGATGTCCACACGCGTCTCTGTACACACACAAGCAAATACCCCCACATACACACCTAGTCAACATGCATACTTACCTGAGGATACGCGCGCTGCCTTAGTTGCTTCCTTGATTTGCGGCCCCTCACTTCCTCCATCAGTCTGTTGTTATTAGTTACTGTTTGTGAAATTTGTTACTCCAATCAATCTCCTTCCTCCCATCTGCTACACCCTCTCTTTTGAAACTCACTTTCACCTTTTATCTCCACCTCCTACCCCCTGTCCCCCTCTCTCCCATGGTCGTAGTGACACCGAGCAAGCAAACACGAACTACAACTACTCTTACACGAACGCCTGTTCTGTAACAAAATTGTAAAGGAATCTGCCTTTTTCCTGGCTTGTTTGTCTTTGGGATGTGGTGGTACTTCAACACAAGTGTTTTGCCCTATACTGCCTACCCTCCCATGCGGTTGATTTAAGCCGAAACACGCCAAATG